AGTGACTCAACACGTTCAGACACGAAGGTGTATCGATCCCTGCAGGATAAACAGGGTTTCATTATCTCATTCATGGAAACAGTAACCAGGTTTCCCCGAAAGGGCTGCCAAGGGGCAGGCTCTGGCCTCAAATACCACCTTTCCTCCCCTCAGCAAAAATCCTGGCATGGGAGCCATCCCTTGGAGGAGGAAACAAACCCCCCGCTTTTCCAAGCAACCAACCCAAAAGTGAAGTAAAATGCACATTTTTGGGGTAAAAGCTGGATTCATCTTGCTCCTGGATGGATGGAGCAAAGCTGTGGGACCTGCCTGTGGCAGCTGGTAAGGAACCCATGTGTGCAAGTAACCATGGAGAGGTGAAGCAGTATTATAATAGTTTTGTTTCTTGTTGGTGTGAGATTTGCGAGGCATAAAAGTGCCTTGGCATTTTAGAGCTTCAGTAGAAATCTAAAATAAATGAGAGTGTTCAGTGGAGAGAGGAAAATCAAACTCAGTGATGCTCTGATTTCGGGTAAAAGCAGTTCCTTCCTTTTCTAATAGCACTTGATTCTGTGACCCTGATAACTTGGTAGCATTGTCAAAACTTCATCAAAATTGAAGGTGAAATAGGAAACTCCGGGACAATTTGCACTTCCAAAGGTGTTAATTTCAATACAAACATCTGAAAAAAAAATGCAACCTCCTCCCCTGCACTTTTTTTCTTTTCTGTTTAGCTGGTGGCCCTTCTTAATAATAATCCATCTTAAGGGCAAGCCCCTGAAATTGGTTGATTTCCAGAACAATTATTTCTACTAAGTGTGCTTGCCTTGATTCTTTTTTAAAAACAGTGTTAAAAACACTGCCTTAATTTGCTGCAGTCATTCACACTTTCCATCAGCAGCCATGCAAGGGGGGTTTTCCCACTGTGAGGGTGGATTTGCTAATTGATTCATGGCCCGGGGAACAAAGAAGGAGAGAAAGTAGTCGTGTTTCTCCCGGGTGACAGCAGCTCTCCTCCCTTACCCTTAAGGTACAAAAAAATATCCCAGTACACTGGCAGCACTGCAAGGACTGAGGCTGAGGCCTGGAATCAAGAGAAAGTGCTGAAATCCCACCAGTTTCAGAAATAAAACATCCCACCGTGACTTGTGTCCTGGAAATAGTCTGGATGCACTGCTGGGCAAGTGGAGAAGTGGCTCTTAGGGACGTGGGTTAGTGCTGGACGTGGCAGTGAGGGGGAACGGTTGGACTTGATGATCCTGGAGGGCTTTTCCAACCTAAATGATTCCATGATTCTGTGATAAGAGGTGGAAAAGTGCCCTGCTCAAAAAGGTGTTTAGATGTCCTTAGGCAGGGGAGGTAGGAGAGAAGGGGGAAAGCAGAAGCACTTGGAATATTGGGGGTGAAAATCCTGTTTTGCTGTGCTTGGGGTTCATTGTGTCGGTAGCTCTTGATAAAAGAGAGGTGTGTTTTCTGTTTCCATCCCAGAAAAACCCCACTGATGGAGGAAAGCTCTTTAGAAATGAAGTTTATAAATTACTTGTGGATGACTTTGGGCTGGTAATTAGCAGGAGTGACCTAATTTCTAGGAGTGATGCTACAAACCTGTTCTCAAGAGGTTGTCTGTGTGCGTGTCCAAGCCCTGTGCAGCCTTGTCCAGTCCTGGCCTCCTCTTGAAGGAGGAGTGGAGGCTTGCAGAGTAACTCAGGCTGGAGGTGCCCTGGGCTGGGGGTCTCCAGCTGGACCCCACTTCCAGCAGGACTGATGCCACAGTTGTGACAGGCAGGTCTGGCCACCCTGGGGATGGGGATCCTCCACCTCTTACACACGAAAGGGCCGTTCCCTGGGACAGCCTGGGCTTTCTCCAGGAGCATGTGGAAGCACCAGGCACAGATTAAGGCCAGATCATCATTTACACACCCCCAAGACACCACATTTTGCAGAGATTAAAACTTTATGCAACCTTGAGTGCTCTTGCTCCCTTACCCCTCGTGGATTGCTTCAGTGTGTCCTGGAGCACCCCAGTGTCTAGACATGCTTGTCTAGAGCCTGAAATGTTTGCAGGATGCCTTGTGAGAAGAGCCCAGAAGAGCTCTCCTGTCTTATCTCAGAAGGCAGGAGCCAGAGGGATGTTGCTCCTGCTGCAAATGCATCAGCCAGGGACGTTCTCTCCTCCCACCCAGCCCCAGCCCCGCAGCCTGTGCTCAGTGCTCAGCGTTAAACCATTCCCCGGGAGTGAGACGCTGCTGGAAATCGCTGCTCCCGGGGGAAGAGCGATGGACATGTCTGGCATTTCAGGCTCCACATGCAAATGCATTCCGAGCTGCAGCCGGCAGACACCCGGCCTGCAAGTGCAGCGGGGAAACTACAATTTGAGGGGGGAGAGAGGAGGAAAAAGGCTCCTGCGCTCCTCGGCTATGTAGGTCACGGCTGGGGGCAGGCTGGGAAGCTCTCCCGCCGTGGAAAGCCGCCGAGGTTTGCCTGCTGCGTCCAGCGCTGTTCCCGGCACGGAGAGGATGCTGTGCCCGCCGGCTGCAGGCAGCCCGCTGCCTTCCGCTGCCTTCCCGCTGCCTTCCCGCTGCCTTCCCGCTGCCTTTCCGCTGCCTTCCCGCTGCCTTCCCGCTGCCTTCCCGCTGCTCCGGCCGCCGGGGCAGCCCCCGGGGCTGCAGCACCGGCACACCCGGGGGAGAAGGGAAAATCTGGGTAAATCCGAGAGAAACCTGCGCGGAGCAGCCGCCCCTTTTCAGCCCCAGCCTGGAGGTGCGTGAGGATGGCTCGAGTCCAGCCCTAAGGGCTGACAGAGACCCGTGGGGCGCTGTGCAGATTTACCCCGTGGGCGCTGTGCAGATTTACCCCGTGGGCGCTGTGCAGATTTACCCCCTTCCGATCCCACAGCCCCCTGACGACACCGAGATGCAGCAAAAGCAAAAATCCAAGGGGCCGAATTCGCGGCTTTGCTCCAGAGGGCTCGTTCAGGGTGTGTCTGCCCAGGCAGGGCAGGATGCAAAACCAATCTGGATTTTAACTGGTTTGGTTTTTTTTTTAACGATCGTTTTCTCCTTCTTAAGCAGGCTGGGAAAGGATCCAGCTGGTTTGTGCACGGCAGTGTGCTAATCCTGCCCCGTGCCGTGCCAGCTCCGGAGGGGGTGGCAGGCACAGGTACCACGAGCACCGATGGGGCTTTGCTGCCACCCTCAGCAAGGGCAAAACGAACCTGTAATTGGGCTGCAGCTGCTCCAGAAAACACTCATTTGGGAATTAGAGACGGGAGAGAGCCATTGCATTGAGCCATTCACCTCCCAGCCCCTGCACACTGGTGGTAATCAAAACACTGGAGAACGTGGGAGCGTGGGAAAAATCAAGTAAAATCAGAAGGATCTCGCAAAGCTCCACAATAAATAGCTCCAAAATCTGGCATTTCGGAGGTGTCTCTGCTTCCAAGTGTTTGAGTCACAGTCTCTGGAGCTCAGTGTGGCAGGGCCCGAGTGAGACAAGGCTGAGATCCTCCAAACACCCATTTTTGGCACTGAGAATAATCCATCTACTTAAGTTTAAGGCACCTCTTTAAGTCCTCCAGGATCCAGAGCCATAGGAGCACAGGGCAAGGAATGTCCAAAGGCAAAGTGTCCTGCCTCAAACCTTACCTTTCCCCTCAAGGAGCCCCCAAAGCAGCATGTGTTAGTTAATAGAAGTGTTTGGTGTGAAACAGCTGCTTCCTGGAAAAGGGTTTTTCTGTTATTTCCACGGCGTTGTGACGCACTCAGGAATTCTGCCACAGCTGGATATATTGCCCTTCTTTGCCTGCATTTCTTTATGTGCAGTGCCCATGTTATGTGCACCAGGAGACCTGCTGTACAGTGGGATTCTTTCATGTCTTTTCCCTAAAATCTGGGTGTGGCCACAGCAATCCACCTTCCTTCCACTTTTCTGTTTCTCTGGATTTCCCTTCTCCTCCACCGAGCATCCCCACCACCATCCCATGCCCTTCCCCATCCCTGTGCCAGGGGAGGGTCACAGGGTGTCTGTCCCATTCCCCTCCTCCCCAGGACACCCCCCTGAGCCCCTTTTGGCCCTGTTTGCTCTCCCAGCAATCCCAGGAGTTATCACCTTGCCTTGCCTCCACTTTTCTACAGCTAAAAGCAATTTAAGGCAAAACAACCATTCTGGATGACACAGTTTAGGGGTTTCCTGCTACAAAGTTCTTGGTCCCTCCAGCCCCCAGCCCTGGTTTTGCCCTTGCTGGTGTTCAGCACCAGCCCATCACCATGAGATCTCAAGCTCAGCACTGCACCTGCTGACCCTTCTCTGTGTCTGGCACGTCCAAACGGATTTTGGACGAGCCCAAAGCTCAGCAGTCAGGAAAAATGGGACATTCTGAGATTACAGGTGGTGAGTCCACCTTGCAAACACCCCTTTGCCAGTGTGGAACCCCAGTCAGACTCAGATTTCAGTTTTATGGTGTTTTCAACCCAAATCCAGAACTTTAAAAAAAAAAAAAATCCCACAATTAGCCAGGAGCTAAAACTACAGCTCTGAACCAAAACATCTGAACCCCAGCCCCGAACCCAGGCAAGATCTGAAGTTCTCCCATGTCCTTTATTTTGAAAAATAAAAATAGGCTAAATTTGGACCCAGGGCTTGTTTTTCATAAAGGGCTGGACATGGTTGGTAGGAGGTTCCCTTTCCAGTGTCAACATCATGCCATGGCCTGAAGGACCCATTGTCACTTACATTTGACATATATCCCCCTCCTAAGACTCGAGCACTGCTGGTGGGTTACAAATTCCCCCTGCATCTCACTGGAGCACTATCCAAAGTCTGACTGTGGGTTTAAATGCTGTTTACTTTCATGCTCAAGGGGGATAATTTTGGGTTTTTTTCCCCCCCCCATGGTCGCTGTTGTTTTGTGTTGTTTTTATCTCAGAAATAACCGATTTAGGAAGAACGATCCTGTTGTCTTTCTCAGGAGGGTGGACTTTCTCCTCCGAGCCGTATTAATTGATTTAATTTATCTTAAATTTGATTGCAGTGAGCACCCCTAATTAACCTGATTTTTTGCTGATAATCACTCACAATGGAATCAAATCACAAATCCGGGGATGGATTGACCGGCACACAGAAAGAAGCCGCCCTCCGTGCCTTAATTCAGCGAACGGGATATAATTTGATCCAGGTAGGAATTCATGGTCACATCCTTTTGTGTGCAGTGTCCAGCTTCATCCTGGAGCTTCAGCAGGGGCTCGAGCAGGAAATCTGCACATGAGGTGCTCCTGGCTCATTCCTTTTCCCTCTGTTTTTCTCTGACACGTGTGCTTGTCCTTAACCACATGGAATAGGTGCTGTCTTTCGTGAAGACAATAAATTCCTCCAGGAATTTATGGTTTAAAAAATCACAATAAAAAAACCAGCCCTAAGCACTGCTGAGTGAAGGTTGGGATTGGTGTCTCAAAGCCACGGCTGCAGAGGTAGTTTAGCAAATAAAACCCACCCGATGAAGCTTCAGAAGAGCGTGGCTGGACTGAGCTGGGAAGCCCAGCATGTCACCACCAGGTCAGCCTTTTGTATAGATACAGGTGAGGCAGGTGCTTCACCTGCCCAGACACCAAAGGTTTGCTCCCAGCTTAGTCTTCAAGGTCTCCATGATCAAGGCCTTCTGTGGTGGCCTCCAAGGTGGAGACTGGGCATGTCCCCCCAAACCCCCCTGAAGAAGTGTTTCTCAATTAGCACCACCAAAACGAGCTGCTTTTTCGAAACCACTGGGCACTGATATGACCGACTGTGCATCCTGGAAGAAGTAGCTGAAACCACTGAATTTTAGGCAGGTGGAGGCCTTGAACTTTGCCTTGCTTTGCATAGCACTAGAGGGCACAACAGCCCAAAGGAAAACCCGAGATTCCTGGGAAAAAGCGTTTTCCTGGAGCCCTCAATCCGGTGTGCCCCAAGAGCAGGCCAGCTGCTGGGTTTGTTGGCCCTGAGGTGGCTTTTTACTGTACCTGACCCAGAAGGTAAATGACTTCTCTATGTCTTATATTTACTGTGGCTTTCTCAGAATCCCAGAAACCCAGACTGGTTTGGGTTGGAAGGGACCTTGAAGCCCATCTCATCCCACCCCCTGCCATGGGCAGGGACACCTTCCACTAGCCCAGGTTGCTCCAACCTGGCCTTGGACACTTCCTGTTATAGGGTCAAGAAAACTAAAAGACCTTCTGGTATATTCCTATTTTCCTGTAAGGATCCCTGTTTGCTGACCTGCTTTAGGCCTTCCTCCAAAGTCAGCTGTACAGGCATTCGCCTGCCTGGAATAATCCCAGAGTGGGGAGTGACCAAAGAAATGGCCAGGGAGCCAAAAATAGAAAAAGGACTGGAGTCCCAGCTCCTCTGGTAGGACAGGAGAAGGAAGAGAGGCAGGAAGGAAGGAAAGGGAGGAAGGAAGGAAGGAAAATGAAACAATACAGGAAAGATGATTAAAAATAGGAGAACAGAGACACACCCATCTAGCAAAAACATACCAAAAAGAGGAAATATTGACTGGTCTCCACACCTGTTGGGGGCCAAGATCTGCCCTCTGCCTGAAGGAGCTCCTGGGTAGGCAGGTGTCACCCTTTACCCCTCACAGGGCCACCCACCATCGATGGCCCTGCTCTGTCCCTGCCGTGGGGCTGTCTCTGCCATCTCCTCTGCCCAGTCCTCCTCCTCTGAAATCCCTGGCACAGTCACAGAAAGTGCTGCCCCACTCCTGGGTGCAGGAAAGGGGGGGTGTCAGGGTGCACCACGTCTCCATGCCCACCTCCAGGTCCTCCCCATGCTTTGTGCCAGGCACTGCCTCCTCTCCACTCTCCCAGCTGCTGGCACAAGTGTCTCTCCTCAAAGGCACTGAGCAGCTCCAGCACAACCTGATGCCAACAGTGCCCAGGGCTCACTGGCTGGACCCCTGCACTTCCATCTCTCTCCCAGATTTTCCCCTGCATGCCCACCTTTCCCTCTCTGTTGGCTCTTTCTGAGGTCCTGATGCCTTCTGGTTTTGGAGAGTCCTTCTGCTTTCAAACACAGCCCTTCTGGTACCTTCTCTTTGCTCTGTAGAGTAGGAAGCTCTCCATCAGTCACCGAAATAAGAGGTGATTTCATTGTTAATAAATATTCATGACTGGATGAAGAATCATGACAAGTTATAAGTGTTGCAGGTGCTCTGTTACACAGTCCACAATGACACACAGCCCACAGAGATTCCCCTCCCAGAGCCAGGGAGACATTTCCCAGGCAATTATCTGACCATCTCCATCTCGGACACCCGAAGTAGCAGCTGAGTTGAATGTTCCTTAGCAAAACTCAGTGCAAACCACACCCTTCCCCAGCACATCCCCAGTAGCCTGACTGGGTTATCCAGGTACACATTTGGCAGTGGGACAACCATTCCACACCAGGTTACCTCCAAGGAGTCTGGGAAGAGCTGCTCCTTGAAGGGAAGGAGGGTGCCTGCCTCCAGCGTGTCTGAAGGGTCATTCCCTAGAAGGGATCCATGTTTAAAAATTTATCTCCAAATACATCTAATCTCTATCTTTCCTTTCTCTCTGTGGCAGGAAAATGGGCAGAGGAAATATGGAGGACCCCCCCCGGGCTGGGATGGCCCTCCCCCGGAGAGGGGCTGCGAGATCTTCATCGGGAAACTGCCCCGGGACCTCTTCGAAGATGAACTTATCCCACTGTGCGAGAAAGTGAGACTGCACGGAGGGTGGGGGCATGGCAGGGGCTGGGGCTGCTCAGAGCTGCCTTCCAGGGCTGAACCAGAGCTGATCCCGAGGCCAGGTTGGATGGGGCTTGGAGCAACCTGGGCTGGTGGGAGGTGTCCCTGCCCATGGCAGGGGGTGGGATGAGTTGGGCTTTAAGGGCCCTTCCAGCCCAAACTAGTCTGGGATTCTGTGATGATTTGGCCCAGATGACTGGGCGAGCTCTGACCTTTAAACACCTCCCACCTTGCCAACAAACCTCTTTCTTTCTGGTTTGCAGATTGGCAAAATCTATGAAATGAGAATGATGATGGACTTCAATGGCAACAACAGGGGCTATGCCTTTGTGACCTTCTCCAACAAACAGGAGGCGAAGAACGCAATAAAGACCCTCAACAATTATGAAATTAGGTAAGCCTGGCAAACACCTTCACATCAGCTTTAAACCACAGACAGCTGGGGTGGTGTGTAAGGTATATTTTTCCTCGCAGCCCCAAAGCAAAGTTATTTAGATACCTGAGCTTTGAGAGGAGATCTACTCTTGTCTCCCTGTGCAGTTGCTGCTTTCTGCCCTGGTACAAAGGACTCTTCAGAGTCAACATCTTTGGCAGGGAATTTCTTACAAAACAACAACAGAAAAATCCATCGGAAAAAAAATATTTTGCTTTGGATGAAATTAACTTTCCCCCAGGCACTGCTGTTTGTTTCACCTTCCCCTCTGAGCTGTTTGTTGTTGATTTATTCCTATTCACAGCCTCTCTCGTGACAGATACCGTGGATGTGTTCTGGGAGACAGAGCAATTGCAAAAAATGCTGAAATAGGATGGAAACCAATTGGCAGAACAGTGACATTTCCTAATAGAAAGGAACAGAAAAAGCCCTCATGGTTGTGACTAAAAATTGGGAACAAAACACCCAGAAATCAACAACATATGGGCCCATCAATGTTTTGTTTTGATTTCAACCACACTTACTGTTTTTTTCCAGTTCAAAGTGGGATGAGTAGATGTCTCTGCTTAAAAGCCTTTTGAGATAAACCATTCTGGCAACTTTATGGCTTTCATTTTTGTTTTTAATAAAAAAAGATGGGTTGTGAACTGCTTTACTAGCAACCCTAAGGATGAGCAGATCACAAGGCACAGAGAGGGCTTGGAAATGTGATTTGTATCAGAGGCTGGAAGGTCTCAGGGATCAGGCTTCATCCACCTCCACCTCCTCCACTTCCTTCCCTTGTTCCAAAGACTCCTCTAAATAAGTTCTTGACTTCTCAAGACCTGTAAGAGATACTTTGACCACGAAGAGGTGAACAAGGTGCGTGTAAGGAAGTTTTTACTTCGGGATCTGCACAACAGTTGCCATCAGTGAGGCCCCAAAGGGTGTCTCTCCGTGACAAGGGGTTTTCTTTCCCCAAAACCTCAGTTGTGAGGCCCAGTCATGAGTGGGAAGCCACAAGTCACTGATGAATGCAACAGATCTTGGCTCATACTGGGTGGTAACACAAGGGTCAGTGCTGTGACCCCCAGGTGTGGGCACAGCTGCCTGGTAGCAGCAAAGAGCAAAAGGGAGAATCCCAGGAAGCAAAAGCAAAGTCTGACTTTGGTTTCTCCCTGCCCTCAAATCCTTCATTTCAGCTGTGCTGCCTGACTCTGATGTCAGATTTAGCAGAGTGGCAGCCTCTGAGCAAGACCACCGGAGTACCCAAAACAACACCCGGCTCCGAAGCAGGAGGCCTCGCGTTTCGGGGCGAGAGAGGGGGTTTGTTTTAACCTTCCCCTCTCTCTGCCCCCGACAAACCAGCAGTGTCCTTTGTGCTCAGGAACGGGCGGCTCCTGGGGGTCTGTGCCAGCGTGGACAACTGCCGCCTGTTCGTGGGGGGCATCCCCAAGACCAAGAAGAGGGAGGAGATCCTGGCGGAGATGAAGAAGGTGACGGACGGCGTGGTGGACGTCATCGTGTACCCCAGCGCCGCCGACAAGACCAAGAACAGGGGCTTTGCCTTCGTGGAGTACGAAAGCCACCGGGCTGCAGCCATGGCCAGGAGGAAACTGCTCCCAGGTCAGCACAGAGGGAAGGGTTTGGCTCAGGGGGGCGATTCACTGCAGCTCCCGGGGGAGCACCGCGCTGCTTATCCACGCCGGGCACTCAGGGGCTGGGGTTTGGTAAAATACAGCTGGAGGGATCTGGGCTGCGTGTGTCCAGACAGCTCTGCTGGAGGGTGTGTTTTATCCTGTGGTTATAGTTGGGTTATACATAAAACACAGCCTCTGTTATGGCACCCGAGAACGGATTCATTCTTGAGAAAGTACTGAGGGTGCTCCAGAAATCAGGTTATTTTCCGTGTGGGAAGAAAATTTTGAGTGAGGAACTGCTTTAAACAATGTTGAGAATAAGTCTATGAAATTTAGTGCTGGGGGACAGGCAAAGGCCACTGTGAAGCAGAGAGGGGTTTAGCAGGTGTTAGAGGAAGAAGCCACTCAACATTCAGTGCATTTGCAGGAGTTTCACCACTTTCCTCTTGCTTTCTTGTGTTCAACAGCTTCTGCACTGCTTTGTTGAACCCAGCTCACTTGCTGGGGAAAGCATCCAAAAAACCTTCTGGTCTGAGACTTGTTCATAACCCCCCAGCCTTCTTTCACCTGTTCTATCTGACAGCCCATGAAACATCCTGCATAATTTAAATCCTTTTTACTTACTGTGGAAAAAAAAAAAAAGAGCATGATCTGAGCACTGAATACTCTTGGATATTGTGGGATATCTCACACTATTCTTCCTTTTATTCTGCGTTTTCTGCGTCACTTCAGCAGAACTCCCTGACTCTGGGAGCACACTCAGCTGCTCTGTGCTTCAGCACCACTCTTCCGTGGTTTCTCCATGGAGAAGGAAGGCAGGAGCAGGCAGAGCCACAGCTGCCAACCAGCCTGGAGGGAACAGAGCGCTTGAAACCCTGAGCAAAGGCAGCGAGACAGATGGAAGGGGCACACGTGAACAGACATGTGCAATCTCCAATTTGGGGACATCTCAGCAAACAGTTTTTGGGAATTTCAAAGGCCTGAGCAGGAGCCAGACATCTTCTGATGTTCCAAACATACGGCAGGAACTGCAAAAACGTTCCAAGCCGGAGCTGAATGTGTGTCCAGGGGATTCACTGGATGGATGAGAGGTGGAATATCCTTATCAAGACCCTTCCTTTAGTCTGAACCTCGCTGCTCTTTGAGGGAGCTCTGTAGAAGAGACAGAGATGCTCAAAAATGGAGCTTAAAAAAAATTTAAAACCTCGTCCTGTCTCCTGGCTAAAACCAGAGGGTGGAAGTTTAGCAAGAGGCTGGTGCAGGACCAAACTCAGCTCCTTGCTGCAAGTCAGCTGGGTCATTATTCCCACTACTGAGCTGGAAACAGCAGTTCAGAAAGGGGCACATAACCATGAGCACCCATCTCTCTGTTTCTGCTCACCAGGGGCTCAAATCAGACTGTGCAGTGCTGAAAGCTGGACATCAGCTGGGCCTCACTCCACAGCCCCTGGCTCATTCGTGAGGGACTCAGAGGGAGCAGCATCTTTCCATTCAGTTTGATCATTTACACTTCCAATACAGAAAAACGAGTCTCCAAATCCTACCCTCAGCCTCTGATCTTGTAGCTCCCACCCCATCTTAGATGGGTTATCCAAGCAGAGCTGCAGTGTAGGATGCCTTTTTAGATCTGGCAAGGAAAGTTTTGCAGGGTTTTCTTTTTCCCTTCTGTTGCAAATGATTGGTTTAGGCCATTTAAATAATCACCAGCAGAGTATCAACAAAAGCTGATTTAACATAAATTTGCAAAGGCACGACAAAGTTTTATGGCAGTGTTGACTCTGTTACTTACTAAATAGATAAAACACACAAAGAAAAACCAGATTAAAGCAATCTAGAATGATTTATCTGGGAGGCAAAAGGGTAAGGAGGGAAACAGTAAGGGAGTGAAGCCCCTTGCCCAACTTAGCCTGGACTGGATCAATGGTTTGGATCTAAACGATTTATCAATTGTAACAATACCTAATTCAGCTCAACAGCAGCACTTCTTAATACATTGACTAATTTAACATGAATAAAACGGTTCAGTGGAATTCTGCCTGAGTGCAACATAACCATATATCCAACTTGACCATTAATTTAATTATAAAATCTAAAATGGCAACATTTGCAGTACACACGCACGCAGAGATGAAGTGCAGACAAAGTGCACGGGAAATTCCCCTCGAATCCAGGGAAATGCTCGTGTGGGATGCCTTTTCAGGTCCCCAGGGGGCGGAGGGTTGAGCCTCGAGGAGCGGAGGCGTCGCCCCGGGCTGTGTCCCCAGCGTTCAGCCCCTCGGTGCCACCTGGGGAAGGCGGCAGGTGAAGAAACCATCGCTCCCCGAGCTCCCTGTGCCTTGCCCGGGGCGCTGCTCCTCACTGCCATTCCCACAGCTCTGGGACGAGTCCCTCTCGGTTACAAATTGAACGTCACTAATTGACCAAGCAGCTACTTAAGGGATTAGGTGGCTCAGTGCAGACGATTATGGACCTCAGTGTGATAAGGACAGACACCACCACCTTTAACCACCTCTTTGTTTGCTCTTTGCGTTCTCTGCCCCTCAGCAGCTCATCCACAGCTTGGAGAGCCCCGGGGCTCACCCTCCACACCCACACCCTGGTTTATGCCTCGTTATTTTTCGTGTCCCTCCTTTCTTCTGCTGCAGCTTCACCCAGTGGGGCCCAAAGGAATTCAGACACACACAGAGACATCCCTGCTTTTGCTGTTTCATTTCATCCAGCCAGGACTTCGGGATCCCTTTTTGTGTTATCTAAGGAATGAAGCTTTTGCAGCCAAAAGGGAATTTTTATACAGTTCCCTTTGAGGGAGCGCTCCAGGGAATGTGGAACTCAGTGAATGATGCCATATTTCCATTTCTTTCAATTCTGGACGCTGTATTTCTGCAGGCACTTGAACTATTGGTGGGAGCAGGCTCCAAGTGTGACCATCTGCTTTCGGAAATGAGTTAATGAAGCAGCAGTGCTTGGAGCTAGAAAGGCTTTTCTGGTTGTGTTTGGAGAATTTGGCCCGCTCTGCTGCTCACACTGCACACGAAACAGTGTCTGAGCAGAAGGGAGAGGAACCAGAGCCTGTCTGACACACTGACCATGCCAATCCCTTTAAAGGAAGGATCCAGCTCTGGGGACACCCCATCGCCGTGGACTGGGCAGAGCCAGAGGTGGAGGTGGATGAAGACACCATGTCATCAGTAAAAATCCTCTATGTGAGGAACCTCATGCTCTCCACCACTGAAGAGACCATAGAAAAGGAGTTCAACAGCATCAAACCAGGTAGGAGCCCCCTGAGGCTGCAGCTCCTGAATAAACGCCGCTTCTGCAAGTGGAAATATTTCTCTGGTCATAAAATGCCAAAGGAGGAGATAAAAATAGCTGGTTCTCTGCTGTAAAATGTTCCTGTGTAATGCCACAAAAATGGTCATTAGGCTGAAGGCTCCCACCCAACTTGCACACCATGTCATCCCATTAAGGGCAGCTTATTTTCCAGCTAGCGACACTGCTAACCTTTTTTGGGGGATTGGCAACTGGAAGAGATCCAAAATGCTGCATGGGGATGCCTGTGTCATAAAAATTATTTGGAATCATTTCAGTTCTTTCTTTAAAAAAAAAAAAAAGAGAGAGAGCTGGTGAAGCAGCTGGGTGATTTCAGCATTCTTCTATGGCAAGGAATGATAAAAATAGCGTGATTTAATACAAATTCTTTTTATCTAATCTATCTAAATTCTGAACTCTGTAATTTTCATACATCCCTTCCCCCCCCCATTCTCCTGTAAATTTGTGAATAATCAGCATTTATATTACATGCACTTAGGGTGAGGCTTTTTCAAAAAGCAAGTAGATTTGTTGGGGCTAAAAATCCTGCTGCCTTTCAAAGGAGATTTTACTTCTGAGCAGCTCCAGCTTTAGGAAATTCCACCCAAAACCAACAAAGTAAAAATAACCCGTTTCTGCAGCTCTCCAAGCCACACAGTCCATTAGGCATTAGGAACTTTTGCTTGGCAATGTGAATCTCCTTTCATCTCGTTCCTATTAACTTCCTTCTATTAATTTTTTAAAATACACTACAGAGCTTCATTTTTTCTTCACCAGTTTTCATATCTGCTCTATACATGCCTTTTACTGTACTAGGCTGCAATGCAAAGCTCCTTATGAGGTTTTCTTGTGTCCTTCCAACATTTCTGCCTGATACTTTTAGCCACCACCAAGCTGTTGGAGACCCCATTTTACCCCTGAGTTAAATTTATGTCATCACCCTCTCTTAACTGCTTCCTTCTTTTATTTACCCAGTTTTGCTGCTGAGCACTGAACAGCTCACGCTCCCCAGAAACACATTTATGCCCCTTTGACACTTTGGTAACAGTCATCTGCTCTGCTCCTAAGGCAAGTTTTCCAGTACAACAGCAGAAGTTCTGTATCATCTTTAATTTTCACTTCATCATTTCACTGCTCGTGTTGGAATTTTTTTTTAATTGTTTTTTTTTTTTTTCAATGGACAGCTTTAATTTTGGTGGATAAAGTGGGTACATTAGATCAGCAAAAATTTCAGCTTTGGGGAGAACAAATGCAGTTTTAGTGGGATCCAAAAAGGCAGCAAGGATGTGAAATGATTCCCTCCCCTGCTTTGGTTCTCTGCCTCATTCACTGAGCCACATTTCAGCACCACTTACCTGAAGTTACATTTGATCCAGGGCATTAAGAAGCTGCTTTGACATTACCAAGTCACCCAATAAAAGATGATCCAAAGGAGTTATGATCCAAAGGTCCCCATGACAGAGCAATTCCCACGTCTATGGCTCCACAGACACTGCTTATGCATCTTAAACTGTGGTTTACTGCAAGTATCACCCCTTAAATCTGTCCCAAATTCAGTGCTTGGTGACTTTTATAGAGAGACACATCTCACCGAAGAGCCCTGCCCTTGCTCCCTGGGGATTCTGGCAAAATTCCTCATCCCTGCTGAAGTTTCCAGCAGGCAGCTCGTGCTCTCCCAGCGTTCTGAAGGGGGCAGTGCTCCCCCTCCGACATTCCACGGATGTTCTCTCCAAGGGGAGCTATCACACTGCTTTGCCCCGGCTGAGGCAGAAGCAGGGAAGAGCAAACTTTTAGGCTCAGGAGAGGATCCCTGTCGTGGAACACTCCCAGGGAGGCAGAAGGGGGATTTTCAAAACACAGTGAGTTCATTAAAGCCTCGACTTGTAAACGAGGCATCAGCATGTAACTCCCATAGCTTCAGGCTTGGAAAAATCACCTTCTGTCCCAGAAGGACACAAAGTGCTGCTTACCATTCCAGTGCTGCTCAGGTTATGGGCTGGGACAGCTCCATTTATCCCACTGCAGCCCCTAATGGCTCCCCCTGAACACCAGAGGAATTTATTTTCTCCTGCATTTATCTAGGCAAGTGTTTTTGAGGCAGTGTGACATTTCCCCGTGCCCCTGTTCAGCTTTAAAAGGTGAGAAGCCAAGGGGAGAGTTGTTGAGCATCCCTGAACTGAGTTTCCAAAGGATGGGTTTGGGGGTGGTACTTTTGGAGGCTGGGCTGGTTGGTGATGTGCTCCCCAAGCTGCAGGAGCAGGGAACATGAACAATTAAAGAGAGGACAGATGTCTAAAGGTTGTGGCCATGGGGGGGTTATTTTGGAGACAAACCTCTCAGTGCTGAGCATCTCAGTGCAACAGCAGAGCAGCTGACAAGGGAAAGGGAAAGCTCTAGAGGGACGACACAGAAGTGAAGAACAAGAAGCCATTTACATTTGAATTATTTTGGGTGATCACACAGGTGTAAGAAGGACTCGGGCTGGAGGCACCAGGGTGGGGGTCTCCAGCCCAAGCCCGCTCCCAGGAGGGTCAACACCTCGGCTGGAGAGGCTGACTGGGGCCATGTCCAGGCCATCTGGGGCATCCAGGGAATCCCCACTGACACGGGAAAGGCTGTTTCTTAGCAAGAGACCTGCTGTCCCTTCAGTCCCAGCCCCTCCCTGTTGCCTGGGGCTGCTTTCTCCCAGGCAGGACTGGCTGTTCCTTCTTGCTGAACATCCCGATTTGACGAGTAAGAGAAAAGCCTCCTTGTTTTATGGCAGGAGCATCAGCTTCCCTGAAGCTGCCTCCAAGCACCATGCATGCAGGAAACCATGGAGATGGGATCACATAGTGATGTTTCTTGTAGCTGGTGCAAGCCCTGCTCAGCCAGTTTAGTGGTCTGTCACAGAAGGGAGACACAGGACCAAAGGTAGTGTCCAACAGAGCACTTTGGACAGGAGAAAACCACTCCAGTTTAAAGGGAAACTGGTGTCTGCTCCCCAACCCTTCTAGGGTGTCTTGAAATACTATAACCATTCTATATTTGCTTTCCTATGCCATATACCTCCTAAGAGGTATCCTCTTGTTCTTGTTCTTTTACCCTTTGCTCTCCCAGGGCTCATAACCTGACACAGCTGCTCTCTCAGACCTGTATTCCCCAATTAAAACCCATTTCCTACTAATATTCCAATGTTTTCTACAGGTGCGGTGGAGAGAGTAAAGAAAATTAGAGACTACGCCTTTGTGCACTTCAATAAGAGAGAACACGCTGTGGAAGCTATGAAAGCATTGAATGGGAAGGTAAATACTAATTCCTGGAGCTTGGGTACATTATATTACAGACACTGAAACAAAGCCTCCTGCTTTATCAGCTACAAAAACCTCCTGGAGGTGTCATCCCTGTTTTCTCTTTGCAGGCTGCTTTTATACTCCTGAATCTGTTTTTCTGCAGCTCTGATGTACACAAACTATTCATTTTGGCTGCCTGTATTCGTGCTAAATGTTTGCCCAGCTCAGGCTCTAGTTCACTGCTCAGAAAAAGTGTGGGGGGGAAAGCAGAGGAAGCTGCAAGAAGAACTAGCAAAAGAGGGGGTTTGGGCTCCCTTGGCTCGCACTCACATCCTTGTTCCACGTCTGCCAACAAAAACACTCGCAGGGCAGCGTGTGAATGGCAAACTGGGACAGACAAGGTCAGCCCAGAACATCTGCTCCCAGTTCAGATGGGGGTTTGCAGGGGGAGTGCCGGATTTGGTCCCTGTTGCGCCGCCTGTAATTCCCGGCGCTGCAGTGCCGGGGCTGCTCCCAAGGAGGTGTTAACCCTGCTCCTATTCTTAGTGCTACTGCTGTTCCCCGCAGGAGCACATGGAATCTCGCTGGCTTACCAGCTCCTTGGCAGGGAAGTGAAGCCTTTGGAAGGCTGTGCAGACTCAGTTAATCTGAATTAACTGGGCGGGGATGGGCGCTCTCGGCACCCTAAGACTTTGCACCAAGCCGGTGCTGCCTTGCCTGTGGGAGGGGGATTTGGGGGATTTCTGGGGCCGGTTTCCTTCATTTTCTCATCCCATTAGCAAACCCCCTCCCTAGGCAGGATAACCCATGTGCACTTTGGAGTCTCACCCTCCTGCCGTGCTCTCTCCCCGCCGGGAAGGTGCTGGACGGGTCCCCCATCGAGGTGACTTTGGCCAAGCCGGTGGACAAGGACAGCTACGTGAGATACACGCGTGGCACGGGCGGCAGGGGCCCGGTGCTGCCGGGGGAGTACACCTACACCTTTGGGCACGTGTACGACCCCGCCGCCGCCTACCTGGGCGCCCCGGTGTTCTACGCGCCCCAGGCCTACGCCGCCATCCCCAACCTGCACTTCCCCGCCACCAAGGGGCTCAGCAGCAGGAGCATCATCCGGCCCCCCTCCATCCGAGGTAACGCCTGCCACACAGCACTCAGCTCCAGCAAAATAGCTCCTCCTCCTCCTACACGTGTGTCGCTGGACACCGCCCTGGCTCCCGGACCCCTGTCCCAAAGGGATGGAAAACGCGGGGTTTGGCCTCTGTCCTTCCCAATTTTCCAGCGGGCCAAGCTGAAAGAAATCACCATTTTCCTGGAGTAAGCCTGAAAGAGCTTCCAGATTGCCCTGGGGCCAGTGTAAATAAACCACAAATCCTGGTTTTGCCCCAGCAGGGAAGACCAAATAAAACAATTTTCCTTTCCCCCCTTCAGAGCCAGACCCCACAGCCAGCCACCAGCACAGCTCAGCGCTGTGTTTCCTCTTTGCTTTGAAGGTCACAGGGAAAGTTTTACCAGTCCTGGTGTTTTCTGACCCAAAGCCACGGAGCTTCCCAAGGAGGTCACCATGCCCCTAATACAGGGTAGGGAGCCAGCACTGAAATCAAGAAAGCCATTAATGATGTGCTCTGGGAGAGGGAGCCCTGTTTTGGGGGGTCATCAGCCTTATAATAACCAGGGTATTTCTGAAAACTACTGGGTCACTGCACCTGGGACCAAATCAAATCCCCCTACTCAGATAGCCCCAAATTAAATATCAGTGCAGACATCATTTGGTAAGTGCAGAAGTAAGTTTAGGGTTAGCAAAAAAAAAGAAAAATAAATAAATAACTCTGCTCATTTGATCCTCCCTCCAAAGATTATGCCTTGTGTCCCCAAGCCCGTGGCCAAGTCCCACAGCAGGCTGGGACTCTGTGTGGCACCCCAACAGGGCTAACAAGGACCATCATGGCCAGTTTTTCTCCCTTCACAAGGAAGGGGACAGGGCAGCCAGGAACACCCCTTGCACCTCATGTTTTTCCCACACAGGTGAAAGCAGCTTCTATGAAGTTTGCACTGGGAAAGGTGCAGATGTGATAACCCACCATCCCTCTCTCGCCTTATGTTCTCCCCAGACCCCCAAGCGGGGTTCCCTGAGGAAAAATGGAAGTGTAATGGGGGAAAACAAAAAGGGATTTTCATCTATATAAGGGTGAAATTGTATAAACTCTGAATTCTTCCAGAAGGTGAAATTACGCTGGTGGGTAACAAAAGATACCAGCTGTCCCCTCTCCACATTTCAGCTACAAATGTGGGTAGAAAGGCATCACGAAATCAAAACTGGCTAGAGAAGGTGGGAAATGGGTCAGAAGGAAGCAGGTCTCCCCAAAAAAGCCTCCCCTACCCAAGCATAAGAGCCCAAAAAGAAAGGGTGTTGGTGTCGAGCCGGGGTTATCCCACAGAGGGGCCTCCTGCCCGTCTTCTTCCCCTCCCTCCCCCAGCAAGCAGGGCTAACTTTTCCATTTCAGCAAGGATCAGGGTCGTTTTTCCCGTGATTTGATTCAGTTTAATGCCTTCTTACATTCCTAGAAATTTACATGAATGTACCTGTAGGGGCTGCGGGAGTTAGAGGCCTGGGAGGTCGCGGCTACCTGGCGTACACGGGCCTGGGCCGAGGATACCAGCTCAAAGAAAAGAGGGGAGAGGACAAACTCTACGACCTCCTGCCAGGGATGGAGCTCACGCCGATGAACCACGTCACACTAAAGCCCCAAGGGATCAAACTCGCTCCTCAGGTACCGAAAATAGCATCAATATCCCGGCCAACCGTCGCCTCTGCCCAAAATGCTTCGGGAAAACAGGCCCCTGATGGGATCTGCACTGGGGACTGCTAATTAAATCCCTTCTTGCACCTCCAAAAACATTAAAAAAATCAGTGATGCTGGTTGTGCCTTGTAATATCCACCCACCTCGCTGTAG